CAAAGCAGTTGGAGACGTTGCCTTTTGAATACAGATTGCATTTTTTAATTGTTTTCAGACATTTTATTGACCATACAATATCAATTATCTGAGGGAAAATTGGCCATGGAACACATTAATTGCTGTATTTTTAATCTGCAGGATCTTTTAATGGTTTAAGTTGAACTTAAACCATTAAAAGATCCTGCAGATTTGTCCTAAATAAACAGTTTCATAAATAATTTTAGGTGGAGAAACTGTTCGCTGTTTACTGCTTAATTCACAGCAGCTCAAACAAAATGAGGTCAGATGCTGTGGGGTTCATTTAAGTCGTTCAAACATGGCAGGTGTGAAATCAGCCTGTGCCCCTTGTGAAAAATCGAGAGGGCCTCTAGCCGGAGGGACTGATGAGTGACTCTCATCTTATCCATCAATTAGTGGATGAGATGGTTGTGATAAAACGACAAACCACATCTAATAGTGCACCGCAAACAAGCCTCTTGTTCACGTTTTAAAATAGTTTATTTATCTTTACAGGAAAAGCACAAAACATTTACCAATAATGACTCGGCATTCATCATCTGTCCTAGTAAACCATATCAGTGAGTCAGCACCAAAGTTAAACGTATCTTTAATCTGCAAATCCCAAAAATTCTACACTGTGCAAAACTATCCACTGGGCCAAATTTGAATCCTTCATAAGTTTTGGCCAGACAGACAACACTGTTTGATAATCCAACAAAGCAACCACTTCACCAGATACACGTTGTGTAGCTAAACCTTAGCAAGTAAGATGATGTTGAATGAATGAATTGAGTTGCAGTTCTTCAGTGTTAGCAGGAGGTGAGCATTAGGCAACATTAGTCAGAAGAAAGAGAGCTCAGAATCAGATCTGATTCCAAAAAATAAACGATAATTTGATGAACTGAACACCCTGCTGACATTAAGTCCATTTCCCCCCGATAGCTGCTTGGCCAGTTGGGCTTTTTAAGGCCTCAGTCACAAATGCATACTATGACTGGCAATATCCTGGCAACTTCTGGTTGTCTGGAAAAAGTGTCACATAAACTGGAAATGGGAAATATTTGTCTTCATAGTAAAAGTTGTGCCTTCCCATTGTAACCAACATGCCCAACTTTTTCCAAAGTTGCAACTTTTTTTTTGATAGTTGATAGTTTCTTTTGCTGGTTTGCATCGTACTCTTCACACTTTCACTGCCACCTTGTGAGTTGTTTGCAAGTGTTTATTTCCATCAGAAAACATAGCAAACAACTGCAAGGTTTTTAGCTTAGCACCTTTTTTGTGACCAATATCACCCAGCAACTTCCAAAAACGATTTGCAGGCCAGTCCTGGAATAGACACTTTTAAGGATGATCACTAACCAGTCACTAGGTCTGTGAGACTGGGGCTTTTAATAAAACTGACTTTGCTAGTAATGAAAATTGCTAGATAAGATGCTTGATACCTAGCTTAGCAGCAAGCTGGCTAACCTTAGTTTATGTTCTTGCTGCAGTTGTCCCTACAAAAGATATACCTAAAGTCACAACATTTCATTGTTTAATGTCCTTATGTGCAGCCTGTGTGTTCTGAACCTGTCATTTGTTGACATTAATGATTAGTGCACTCAGTTTTTAAGCTAATATTACAGTGTTGGTTAACTCTGGGAGCAGAAGACAAACACTGAGGAAAGGCACTTGTCCCAAGTCCTTATCATACAAGTCACGTCAGAGGCTGTTAGGCAACCAAGTTGGAGGTTTAACTGATTCCTGAGTGAATCAGGAAATAAAAGTTTGTTTCTGGACACTGGAAAGTAAAGAAAAAGAAACTACAGAAAATAGAAGAGGCCAATAAATGTTTCATAATCACCTTTTGCACTGGATCAGTCACACACTCTTAAGTATGAATGATGACCTGCAGAGGCTATTATCTGATATAGAAAAAGTCAATACCGTTCTGATGGAACAATGGATATAATTTTTTTTAAATTTAATATTCTGTATTAGACTGGTACAGTTAAATGTGTGTGACATGCCACCAGCCAGAACGAGTCTCATAAATCAACATATAAAAGCGTAATTTTATTGGCCAGTTGTTCATTAGAGGCTGAGTACTGATTGATCAAGCTGGTCAGCGCAGCAGAGTGACACAGGTGTTGGTGAGTGAAGGTGATTAATGGCCCTTCATCAAAACAGGTGTGGAGAAAATACTTGGAAATGGTGGGGCGCTCCACTGGAATAATAAATATATTTCTCAATGCAAAGCACCTCATGGTTTGCAGATGTGAACATTAACCACAAAGCACCAAACAGAGCAACTTTTATGGGAAAGATGCTGAACATCCAAGTAGCTCGAAACCTCATAATTAGCAATGAACTGCAAAAGAAAGAAAACTATATCAAACTTATTATGCCAGGAGTCTGCTTACAGTATTGTGTAAGCAGATACTTGTAAAAGAAAAACAATGCATAAGACTCAGAAACTAAGCCGTATCTTCTTTTCTGTTAGCCAGACACACTACACTGGGAGATCTGATTGAAAGAAAAGAATCACTGGAAATACAACAGCCTTGCAGTAAAAATTGATTTAAAAAATGCTTCTTTTTTTTTTTACTGTTTTTGTTTAACAGTTGGTGATTAAAGTGTAATAAATTTAAAAGAGTTTGTCGTGCAGGTGGAAGATATGACATTTTCACTCAGTTTTTCATAGTTTTGCAGAGTCTACATGCTAATCCTAAAGGCACTAAGGGCGATCGTGGCTCAAGAGTTGGCAGTTCGTCTTGTAATCGGAAGGTTGCCGGTTCGAGCCCCAGCTTGGACAGTTTTGGTCGTTGTGTCCTTGGGCAAGACACTTCACCTACCGCCTACTGGTGATGGCCAGAGGGGCCGATTGCGCGATATGGCAGCCTCGCTTCTGTCAGTCTGCCCCAGGGCAGCTGTGGCTACAACTGTAGCTTGCCTCCACCAGTGTGTGAATGTGAGAGTGAATGAATAGTGGAATTGTACAGCGCTTTGAGGTTCTCGAAAAGCGCTATATAAATGCAATCCATTATTATTATTATTATAATCCTCCTTAATCAAAATTTCCAGTCACTTTCTCACAATTGTGAAATTACCCTTTTTTTTAAAAAAAAAAAATAAAGCACATTTCAACCAGTCATTGAAAAAGAAAGAAAAAAAAAAACCTCAACTGTAACTGAAACTGTTGATGGCTCTGTCCTATGTAGGTGCTCCAGTTCCAGGGCTGTGGTTTTCTGCATGATGTCCCACTGGCATGGCTTGCTGGGACCATTAAATGTAATAAAGTCATCATTCATTTCATTAGCCGAACCTGTGGCTTTCCTGCTATGACAAAGTTAGAATCTCTGTTGTGGTCTATTGCTGTGGAGACAACCTGTGTCAGCTGCATGAGCCCATTTTGAAGCTAAACACTGAAATGCTGATGTATAAAAGTCTGAGCTAACTTTTAAACTGAAAAGGCTGGGCCCTTACAATTTACCATTCAAATACTGAGCTGGGTAGATATTTGCTTTTCAAATGTGAAATTTAGATATTCTGTAATGGCCTCAAAAAGGACATGTCAGTGTTTTCTTCAAGTCTTGAATCTTTCCTACCTGCACTGACAGCTTTTGCCAGTCGGCGGAGTCTTCTCTGATGAGTCTTCCCTCTGTAGTGGATCTGTGCCTGGGCACTGGAGTTCAGCTGTATGTTGCACACCTGACACACAGTGGCACTGCCGCTGCCCTGTCGCCGCTCCCGCTTGGCCTTGAGCCCAGACCCCATCCTCCTCTCTTCTTCGTCTTCTTCCTCTTCTTCCTCCTCCTGTGCCTCCTGGCTCTTCGGAGGAGGGCTGCTCTCCCTCCAGTCGCTGGTTTTTGGACGCTTCATATCTGGCGATAGAATAAAGATTTGAGGTAATTAATCAAAAGAGGTAATGACTTATATAAATTAGAACCAATTGTCTGAATGTGAAATGCTTAAATATTTTTCTTTTTATGTGTATGTTGTACAAGCCTCCACAGGGGGGCAACAGAGCAGCGTGACTTCATCAGAGGAGATGACTAGTGATCTTTTTCAGTTTTATGCAATTTTATGTGCACTGCTATTGTACTGGTTGATTCTTAAATGCACAAAGAGATTTTTCCAGCTTACAAAGGACACTTTTCACTTGGACTTCTCTACATCCTTTGTACAATTTGTCAATATGAACAGATGCATGTGTTAAAAATCTTTGACATCCCATTAAAGGACTCAAAACACTCCGTAGATAAGTATCTTGTTCCAACATCTCTCTATTTATCAGATAATAAAAGCAGATTCCCAGGGGAAACACAAAGCGACATGCTGCTTTGTGAGAGCACGCAGCCCTAATACCTGTAATGGCTTAGCGATTATGACAGACTGACAGCATAAATCAAGCTGCAGCTAAACACAAGCCATGCTATGAATGTGGAAATGTCACCCAAAGCCTGAGTGAATTCTTTGTTTTGCCTCTGTTCATATGTTAATGGCATCAATTAAGCCCTCGTGATGTCAGGCATTTTATCCGCTCCCTTGCCTGAATCTACCCCACCCCCCAAGGCCGCTACCATTTGCAATAAAAATGGTAGCTGCCCCTCTAAAAATTCAACTTGACAACATGAAAGTGGAATGGAAATGCGTTGAGTGGAAGTCATCAGTTTCCAACCAGCAACATGGACTTCAAAGCTGCAGCCCATCACCGCAATTATTTGAATAAAAGTGTGACAACGGGCTGGCACATGAGTAACTGGTGAAGACGGTGACTAGAATAAAGTGTCTCAAAACACGATTAAAACATAGAAAGCGTTACACTCAGTGCCATTACAATCGCTAAACGGCACATACAGACTGATTTAAAAAAAAGGGAACATGTAGAACAGGAATGTTGTGTGATTCCTGGCCAGGCTGTTAAAGTGTTTTATTTCTCCCTCCTCACAACAAAATATGCATTTATTATATTTTACACAGTTTGTTATGCAAAACTGTTCCAAACACTCTGACCCTCTGAAGTCAGGCTGAAGCTTGATTTAGACTTCTGAGGGAAATTTTCATCCTAACTGACGTGGTAATCGGAAACAGCCCTATTCGTCATAGGGTTGATGAAGGACATACATATATATACAGTGTTGGGGAGTAACGGAATACATGTTACGTATTTAAAACACAAAATATGAGTAACTGTATTCCATTACAGTTACCGTTTAAAAAGGCGGTATTTAGAATACAGTTACTTTGTTGAAATAAATGGATTACAC